TTTATAATTTTACTTCTCAATTGATTTTGAATATGATACGGTAACCCCAAAATAAGCAATATTCGATTTTTCACACAAATTCTCATCCGTTCAATATAGTAATCTTTGTTTTTCATAATAATATTCGAGTATTCCACCATTAGTTTATTTGTAGAAAAAGGTTTTTCCCCATTTCGTCGTAATGTCATCAAAAATTTTTAAGAAACTCGTTTTTTATTCCATTGACTGACTATTGGACTTGCGAATGCATCTGTCTTCATACCATTTTAGTGCAATACCTTGAAGATTAAAGCGTAAATTATTTATTTTATCAATCAGATTTCCATTTGTGTGAACAGCACAACGATTCATAAGATTTCATCCAAGCATTGGGATTTTTACTTTCTTCTGAGAAAAACGTAATTTTCATCGGTTCCGGGATTCTGCAGGTAGCAAACGTCATACATTTTCACATGAGGCTGTCAAGTTCATTTTTTCCAAGGCAAATTACATTTTGATCACCTCCATTTGGAATTTTCTTTTCATAATTGTCCTGAACGATTTCGGGAGTTTTATTTCTGCTCGACTGCGCCATTTGTAAAGAAATATCGAGATAATTCTCTAGTTACTATATTTCCTACTTTTTGTAAATCTGTCTTCTTCTCTATACTATTTTATGAACAACCATCAACTAGGATAGGTATCTCAAAATACCTAATATCATATATACTTATAGGGGATATAATCAATATCACCAAATGGTCATTTTACTACACGTTTTAATTATCTCTTGAGTTTGATTAATTTCTATTTATTGTAATTTGGTCGTTCAAACTCTATTTATTATATTCTGAACAAAATAAAAATATTTGAAAGGTATTTTCTAATCATATATCACCCGAACATCACATACAATATATGTAAATTTGAAAATGTCAGTGAGAATATTTCACAAACCATCCATTCAACTTTCATTTTAATAAAAATGATTATACAATACTGAAGCAGCTCTCAAGACATAGGTTTTCATATTAAGGGGATTTCATTTTATCAACCCAAGCTTGGTAAATGACCACCTCATTTTTAGGAAAGTGATATATTTTACTTTTTGTATTGGTTCAGTGGGGACTATGGGGAGGAAGGCCTGACTCACCAATTTAGTTTTTAAAATTTGTTATAGCTGTTATTTATGGCCAGCAGTGACAGGTCTAATGAATAATTCATATATCTAAATATTCAAATATTAGTAATTCGGGCATTGTAATATTTTTATAAATGAAAGAGGTATTTGATACAGTTCATGAAATTTTTACCAAACATTTTGTATGACTCAGGAGTGAGAGGTGATTGTTACAAATTATTTTAAAATAGTTTTCATAATCGAATCAATATGTATAGTAATCAATTATTGTAAAATTACTAATCAGTTTCAACTTTTAGTGTTCCACAAGGTTCAGTTATGGCACCAATTTTCTTATTTACTTTATGCTGATGATATTGAAAATAGAGGTTAATAGGTGATCACTTCTCATTTGCAAATGGCCTTGTACTGTTTTATTAAAAAAAAATGGAGTTTATTAAAAAAATAATCAATGACATATGGAAAAGGCTGAGAAACAAATTAGTACTTTTATATGGAATGAATTTCACGAAAGTATTTTTCTTTCGTGTAATTCAAAGTTTATATGAAAATGTCTGTTTCGAGAAGGCTTTTTCTTCCAGTTCGTGCCTGAAAGCTACTTCTTTGCATAATCTACACATCTTTGTATAGAGTCAATTTTTTTAAATCGATTGCTTTCTTCCTTTCTTTGGAAAATTCGCACATTTTTGTATTAAGATGGAAAAGTAGAAAACCAAAATCTTTCTTTTTCAAAAATTAATCACTCCTAAAAATATACCCTTTCAATTTGAACAAGATTCTTATGGCTGGGATTTGATCAAATAAGTGAATGAATGTTATTTACTTACTGTCATCGATGACATGGGTGGATTCAACCCATTCCATGACGAAAAGTCGTAACTTTATGAACGAATTGAGTATTTCATATAAGTGTTCTATGTAAGTGAAATTTTACTTCTTTCATTAATTATATTGTGTAGGAATCCTGTGAATGATATGTGATTCGATTCTATACGAATGTTTGGAATACAAATGATTATAATAACGTTAGTTCATCGCAGTCGTGTGATGGGTATAGAGGTTCCTGACACTAGGTACAGGGCCTCTCGCGAGGGGCCTGAGACCCTAATCCACTTGCTGCACGTCGTCTTGATTTCAAACAGGTTGGAGCCTGGCTCCCTTACCCTTTGGACTGATAAATCCACTTGCTGTCAGCATGTTCATTATATATGTAGTCTCAGCTAGATACATCGATATAACGCTGCCCAAAGACTGTCATTGTGTCATTTTAAGGTGCCTTCTGACGAGATACCAGCATTGCCCTAACCTCCGGAGGAAATTGAATCCGTTGTGTTGAATAAGAAGTACCGAATCTATCGGGATTATATAGGCTCATATAGAAGCTAATAAGGCTGATGTAGTTCTTCTCGAACATCATAGAGAAACGATATCCGTGGCTGAATTTTCAGCCCAGGGTGAGACGAGTATCGTCCGTAAAGAGGAGAAAAAAACGCATGAAATATCGAGATTTTGTCTTCAAATTCCACAAACTCTACCTAGAAAAATGGCGTTGTAGGTGTAATGAAGTCCTCTCTTCTCTAGAATCTCAAGATCATGTCCCGGCTTGTCGCAATAAGGCAGAAATCTTGGCTGATCAGTTGCAAAAGGCTGTGATTCTTGGCTCATTGCATCTGATTAGGGCACATGATTCTCGGACCCAACGATCACTCACCACATGGTGTGGGGAGTGGTTATTGCTTGATGATGCTGGGTGCTGCGATTCGGTGACAGGGCCCGACGAGATCGATGTCAGTCATTGAGGATGACAAATGTTTCATGTAAGTGAAATTTTATCTCTTTTATATACTATATTTTGCAGCAATCCTGTGAATGATATATGATTCAATTTCATAACGAATGTTTGGAGTACAAACCGAAACTATTTTTTTTGTAATTTAATGCCTCAATGCAACACAAGTTGTAATTTAAAGTGTATATGTAAGTAGTTGTTTGGAGAGGGTTTTTTTTCCAGTTTGTGTCTGAAAGTTACTTCTTTGCACGATCTACACGTGTTTGTAAAGAGTTTATTTTGAAATTAATTGCTTTCTGCCTTTCTTTGGAAGATTCCAACATTGTTTTGTATAAAGATGGAGGAGTAGGAAGCCAGAACCTTTCTTTTCTAAGAAAATTGTAGAATGGAGAGAAATAAATTAAATTATCTTCATAAAAAATACTTATCGAAAGAAGTAAAAATAAAACTGTTGCTGAATGGTCCCATTCCAAAACCAAAACACATACACGTACACTCACGAAGTAAACCTAAAATATATGATGGTTCTATTTAGATAGCTCTAAATAAAATATCTTGCAGAATATATGAAAGGATGAATGGAAATATTGAAAAAATATACGAACGCAAGCAAGTGAGAGCAAGCAACATTTTCAACAAAAAATCTTTCAAATGCATTGCATAAAAATGTATGAGATGAGATTGCGAGAAAAGAATTCTAGAGGCCAATGTGTCGAAATTTGGCCAAAAAATACTGATTTTAGTTCGATCACTGATTTGTCTGACTATTCATTCGACTCGACTTTTTTCAAGGGACCGGTCGCGGGTCTCAGAACAATTTTTTTCAAGTAAATGAAGTGGGGTCACAGAATATTCTGTGGTTGGGTGTTGTTCTACGGTGTCAATCTGAATTTGTGGACTCTTTGATCTGAATGTATTGTATTATGAGATTTCGCGATGGCGATGATTAATTTTTTAAAATGGCTGCTTTGATATGAACGAAAAGTAAATATGTTTTTTTTTGTTATTCAGACTAGATTCTTATAAATTAGTATCGAAGGTATCAATTCTACGTATATATTAGAATTAGAAGTCTTTCTTCAATTTGTAATGTTAAGGTAAATAAAACTTGAGAATTAGTCACAAAGAAATGTAAATTTTCCTGACAGGTCAAATTTCTATCAATTCTATCCTGATATTTCAAATTTTTGATATTTTTTCCCGTGTATTTATTCATAATTATTGTTTATATCATCAATTCTCGAGTTTAAATACAAAGATGAGTGTTTGCAGCCCCATGTATTAACGAAAATCACTTATTTCAGGACTAAACAATATATTTTGCAATCCTTCATAGCTCCAATATTATTTAGGTAGGTTGATATTAAAATGGATATTATTAATGATGAAGATAGAAGAAAGAGACTACATCTTCTCGAAGATCTAATTCAGGACTCACAAGGTAAAGGCAACATCGACTCTTTACTTGATACAGTACAAGCAATTTGTACAGACTGTGATAATCCTGCCATTAAAAAACTGAAGAATGTGGAAGTTTACTTAAATAGATGTAAGTAAACTTTTCTTAAGTTTTATAACTAGTTTTGAATGAAACCATAAACTTTTTCGTAATGTAAGCTGGAAGTTTGAAAAGTTGGTACACATCTTGTAAATATCTTTAATAATTATTTGGGTGCAAGAAATTATTGAATTTCTTTTTTTGGACAAGTTTAGTGGATAACAGTAGGGTCGAATACATGGGAAGGGTTGGATAACATAGGGATGAGAGCCCGGCTGGCAAACACCATTTCGAATATATGGCCAGTCTGACTTTTGATAACAGTGATTTTGCATATTCCTTAACAGTTTTTCAAAATCCATCATAATGTAAAACTACTCTTTTTAAAGTACCTAACAATATAAAATACTTCTATTTTCTCTAATATAATATAATTCCTATAATATAATAATTTCTCCTAATTTAAAGTTATGATGTTATATTGAAATTTTCAACTGTATGATAAGCTCTTCAAAAGCATTAGTCATTATAAATGTCTCAGGTTGATTGAATACAAAATTATCCAATATTTTGTAATGAAAATATACCAATGACTCTAGACAAATCATCTATTTCAATTTAGTTTGATAGCATGTCTACTTGATTAGTTTCTTTATCATGCAAGCTTGTCTAAATAATTTCAAGATATACAAAAATACATTTTGAATTCTCAAATAATTGAAGTTTTTATATAAAATAGTCACTTGCAGACAGTATTTTAAAAATAAAACACCATTGTACATAAATAAGTCTATACTTCAAAATATGTACTATCTATCAACACATTCCTGAATAAGCATTATGATAAACATTACATGCGGGTAGAACTGATAAGGAATGGAAAAATCATGCAGATTCTTCAATAACACAAGTTTCAAAATTTTGTGACTTTTCTGTACTTCGAACAATATTAAATAATGAACTATTTTTTCTTTTTTAGGATTTTCTGTTATTTGGTTATAATAGACTAATTTATTTAGATTTTTATGTATTATATTTAAAGTACATTAATTATGTTTATATTAGGCTTGCCTATCTGGAAATAAAGTTCTTCTTCTTCTTCAAACAATAACGTACAATCACCTCAAAAAATCAAATAATTTCGAAAATATGTATTGGTTTTATTTCAACTTCTTTCAGTTGATCAAAGAAATATGTTCAGTTTTGGAGGCTAAAAAATTCCGTTCCTAGATTTAAAAAAATATTCCAACTTTTCTTATCATTTTAATTAATTAGTTCCACCTTTTAGGGAATAAAGGCTGTGATGCTGGAGTTCAACTAACTTTCATCAGTTCCTTTATTTGAGTAGGTCCTTATATTAGGTTGTTTCAAAATGTTTGTCCGTTTTTATGAGTCCACTTCACTCTGTAATATCTCAATGAATACTTTTTCAATTCAGTAGAAATAAGCGTCATTTGAATTGTAACACAATTCGATTAATTCCGCCTGCATAAAATGTGTGTGCTCGGGATTCGATGAAATCGACGAAGGCCGTTTATGCCTGATCCTGATTGGCGAAGGTTCCACCGGTGAGAAATTTATCAAAGTGCTTGAAAAGATTGTAGTCGGTTGGCGAGAGGTCTGGGGAGTATGGTGGGTTAGGCAGAACTTCGAGCTCAATACGTTTAATTTCGGACAGTGATTTATGAGACGTGCGGACAGGCATCGTCATGGAGCAGAATCAGGCCTCTTCTGAGGACCACTGCAAACTGCTGCTGATGCAATTTCTGCTGTGTTAAATCATCTTAGCAGGACTCTGCTGTGATGATTTAACCCGGTTGCAGAAAGTTATAGCGAATCACACCAGCCGCTGACCACCATACAGTATTCATGGTCTTTTTTTTTGGTGGGTTTTCGCCCTTGGGAAGTACCTGTGTAGCTCTTTGGTGTCCAACCATTGTCCTGAATGCCTCCTGTTGTCGAAGAGGATACACATTTCATTATACGTGACAATTCGAAACGAAAAGCGGTCGTTTTGCTTTCGCAAAAGCAAAGAAGAACAGACCTTTCCAATATGTTTTAAACCAACAAACAAATGATAGGAACTGTTGCTCAGTTTTTGCACCATCCCACGCACCGTTTGTGATGTGTCAGTCTCCACTAGGGTCCTCAAACCCTCGTCCTGAATTACTGTAGGGCTCACCGTCGAGGCTAAAATCTCTGAAACGAATTTTCGCAAACCAATATTGACACTAACATTGTCATTGATTAAATACAAAATTATCTAATACTTCATGATGAATTTTCCCAAATCAACATTAACACTATCATTGCCAAATGCCTGGTAAATTTTTCGCGTTGTTTTGACAATATTTTGATTCAATTTGAATTCATAGAGAAAAATTAGACGAAAATCACTTAACGACATCATAATATAAGCTGAAAAGGGGAAAAATTTGAAATATGGAAAATGACAGCATCCATGTAAAGAGTAAAAAATTCTCTATCGATCAGTATATACCACGACACTGTAGAATAAATATTTATTGAGATATGAAGCTACAAAAACACATGACATTAAAACAGACAGAACTTTTGAAACAACCTAATACATTGCATTTTATTTTATTTTGGATCATTTTAAATTATAACCAAGTGTTGATGACTTTACAGTTTCATAATGCAAATGTTTAGTTACCTTGTTTTTTTTTCCTGCAATATGTAAATTGTTTTCATGAGAGCATGTACAGCATGTCTTGAAACTGATTGCCATTTTCCATTAATTTATAATCTTCAATATGTTTTTTTTTTATTTTTCATGAACTGTAGTTTGAATTGACTCCTTATGTTAATTCATACAGAAACTCACATTAACTTTTGTGTTGTTTTCCTTTCATTATAACGGTGAATATTTATTTTATGAAAATATATAAAATTGCCCCACAAAATCATACTTTTGAAAATGATAATTTGTAAAACTAAATTTGAACCTAGTAGTTAGAGTTACGCAATTCAGAAATATTATTTCGGAATCACTGAACATGTAATTCATTCAACTAAGTATTGAAATAATAGGTTACAATCACAACTTGGTAGATCAAATGCCTCTAATAAAATCTGTACATTTTCATGAAATTTTGGGTCAAGTACAGTTTCTCCAAGGGTAAGCTCAGAAAATATTTCTCGAAGCAAAATAGTGGCTTAGGAGCCTTTTAAAAATCAGCTGTTCAAATGTAGTCAACTGAGGATATCGATATATAAATTTAGGCTTTCACGGCCGGAGTTACGATTATAGAGAACAAAATCTCACCTGGCTGATATCCGATAAAATACATTTTAAAAATTCAAATTTCTTTAAACATAACCCAGGTGTATTCTGTTGATATTGATGACACATATGTGAGGTGATATATTGTGTATTAATACACTCATACATGTAAGATTTTCAAACATACCTCCATTCAATTTAAATTTAGGACTTCATTGGTGACTAATATTCAGTAATATGAATACAATTGTATTCGTTCGAAAATGTCCTTGCAGGACAAAACTGCAGTAACGTTAGTTACAAATAAAAGTTTTATAAAAACATAGGAAGTTTTAATTCTCATTTTTCATGATGATCTACCATGTAGTAATGGCTACATCCATCAATTCATTTTGAAAAAGAATTTATTATAACGAATAAATAAATGAATTGTGAAGTCATTCGATATAAGTAATTCAATGATGTTCGACACTTATACACTCATTATTGAAATATTTGAAATTAGACCAGCTACTGGAATTATCTCTCACTAATATGATCTGTGAGTATTTTAATCAAAATATAGATTGTAGCAAAGTTATGTTTGTTAGTTATGTATGTTATGTTTGAAAGTTGAAAAATTCAATAAAAATTCGATTGTTACTTGTTTTGTAGGATGCTAAACATTTATATATGGTTATGGATTACATGCCTGGTGGTGATATTGTAAACCTCATGTCAAATTATGACATACCTGAAACGTGGGCCAAATTTTACACAATGGAAGTTGTTCTTGCCTTAGATGTCATCCACTCTATGGGATTCGTTCACAGGGATGTCAAACCGGACAATATGTTATTGGATAAATATGGTCATTTGAAGTTGGCCGATTTTGGTACTTGTATGCGAATGGATGAAGATGGTCTCGTCAGATCCAATAATGTTGTTGGTACACCTGATTATATTTCTCCAGAAGTACTTCAAAGTCATGATCACTTATACAGAAAAATATGATCTGAACCAGTCAAGATCTTCAGCCTGAAACTTGAACTGAGAGAGCTCTTGCAGCAGAATTCTTTGACTTATGCAGTCAAAAGCTTTGGGAAGGTCAAGAAACAATGCGGCAGCTAGGTAGATTTCTTCGAAAAAATTGAAAATGGCATCTACTGTTTTTCAATCAAAAGGCAAATCATTTGATAGCTGAAATTTAACATCTCTCCAAAATATTGGAAACCCTTAATTTACCAGGTTCTCAATTATTTTTGATAGCTTTTACAGGATTTGTTTGGATTATCAGTGGAACCTCTTTTGGGAAGAGGCATCTTGGATAACTTTTATTCATAATTGAATATTTATTTATTTATTCATTTATTTATTCATTAACAGGTAACATCCAATTAAGTTTAAGATATTTCACAATAAATTATATGAATACAACAAATAATTACATCTAACTTACTTGCTAAAAGTAAAACTAATTTATTAATAAAGAATAACAGTGAGAAAAAAAATTTACTGAATTGAAATATTAATTAAATAAATGAATGATTAAGATATGGAAAATTCGATAATTGAGGATGTTTATGTTTATCTTTATTACCATTTATAATTTATTTCTGAGCGAGCGTAATGCAAACTTAAATTTTATTTCATTCAATGAAAAGAAGTCCAGATCAACTTTATTACCACCAATAGCTACTCTAGACAGGGGAGAATGTTTACCGTAGTTACAACGATGAAAATCTATTGCAAATGTTTCTGTATTCCTTGTATTTCTAGAAGGAACATGTAAACCAATTTGTGCTAGCAATGCAGGGCAGTTAATAAGAGAATTTAATAATTGGAATAAGAGTTTTGAGTCAGTTTCCACTCTACGACTACTTAGCTTCATTATATCTGCAACCCTACAAATATCATCTAATGAATGGTCCCTCAAGGGCATTTTTAACTTGAACGCAAAAAATTTAAGAATTTTTTTTGTACCCGTTCAATGTTAAGTGCAGGACTTTCATAGGTGGGTGACCAAATGGAACTGCAATAATCTAAGACTGATCTTACCAGGGTGAAATACAGCATTTTTATACATTCAATATTAGAGAAGTCCTTGGAAGTACGACAAATGAAGCCTAGCATTTTTGTTGCTTTGTTTATAATATAATTATAATGTAGGTGAAAGTCCAGTTTTTCATCCATCACTACTCCTAAATCAGTTACAAATTTGACATGTGTTAAAAGTTCTCCCTATATGAATTTATCATAGTTTACAGGTGTAAGTAGTTGATAGTACGTCATACATTTACATTTATTCACGTTGAGATTCATATCATTTTGTGAACACCATTCACTAAATCTGTTTAAATCTGTTTGTAATATTAGGCAATCATCTGGTGTTTGAATTGTCTTAAACATTTTTAAATCATCTGCAAAAAGAAAGATGTCAGTATATTTTAAATTAACTCTGATATCATTAATAAAAATGTTGAAAAGAAACGGCCCTAGATGGCTTACTTGTGGTACACCTGATAAAACATTAATTTCGTGAGATATGAGATCCTTGACTTTTACATATTGAGATCTGTTACTAATATAGCTTATCAGACATTCCAATAGTTCTCCACAAAATCCAATTACTTTCAATTTCTCACATAAAATTGAATGGTTCACTGTGTCAAATGCTTTGGAAAAGTCAGTATAGATGACATCTACTTGATGTTTCTCCTCCAAAGCATTCACCACATATTGTGAAAATAACAGTAGGTTGGAAGTTGTTGATCTGCCTCTGGTAAAGCCACGTTATTAATCTATAAGAACTTGATTAACTTAATCTTTGATTTCGTCACATACTGTGGACTCAATCTCTTTGGGTATAGCACTGATAATACTTATTGGGCGATAATTCTGTATATTAGCTTTATCACCAGATTTATGAATAGGTGTTATGAAACTTGATTTCCAGTATAGAGGAAATATACCAAATTTCAGAGAAGAAGATAAAAGGGCTAATAATGGTTTTGCAAGTGTAAATCGGCAGTTTCTCAATAAAATATTTGGGATTCCATCCGGACCAGGACCTTTAATAATGTCTAATTCCCCTAGCTTGGTTAGAATCGTTTCCAGTGCAGTTACTTATTTGGAGGGTATTATCGTAACTAATTTCTGGTACATTAGGTTTATAAATAGATTGAAATTCTATAGCAAAATTATTTACAATATCATTACCATTTTCAAAATACTGATCACCCAAATACATATTTTCGGGCAGATTATTAATAAAATTCCAAAACTGTTTAAGTTTTCCTGTTGTATTTATATTGTATTCAGTGATTCGTACAAAATTATCATAATTGTGTTCACTTGGTTCATTGCATTGTCTTCTAAGGTTGGAGAAAATATCAAATAATCATCCCAATTTTGACTTTTTTTAAACAGGTTATGTGCAATTTTCTTTTCTTTTGTTAAGTATATTAAGTCATTTGAAAAGCAATGAGGAAACTTTGATTGTGCATATCATAAAACAGCACCTTGTAAAAATTATCAACTGCCTTATCTATGTCAGTTATATTACCCCATAGTTCGTCCCAGTTTATTCCACCCAAGTAATAATTTAGACCTATATAGTCGCCTTTTTTTAAATTGTATCTAAAACTATTAAAAGTTAATTCTGCATGGACATTTTTAAAATTGACAACTACATTTAGAGCTGGGTGCTATGCATCACAAGGTAATAATAGTACATCCATCCAGTATTAATTTGAAATCATATTCATTTTTAAAAGTGTACATTTCAATATCTACAGAAAGAATTGCCAAATAAATTTGATACCTGAGATTATTTTTTATAATTAAATTCAATTTGATTTGAATCCACAGGTTGGGTAAGACTCTTAAGTTTTGAGTTTTTTTGCAGTTGAAATATCAAATAACCTATCAAAAATTACTGTTTTGGGTAACCGCACTTAACGATTCCTGGGATATTGAGAGACAAAGATAAATACATTTGTTGTTGTAAGACAATTTCTGATTGACAAACGTTATTCAGCTATGGTAACAATATAAATTCAATTACTAAAATATCTATATAAAATAGAGTATGTCACTTACATTGTAGTAAAACAAATAGGTAATATGCAAATTTAAACTTTCCTTAAACATACAGGTCACAATTAAAAAAAATATTATAAGTATATCCTACAATTCACGAAGTGGATGGTTATTTCAAAACTCATTAAAATCATAATAGGCTTTATCAATCAGAATATCCCTTAATTTCTTCCTGAAATTAATCAAAAAATAACTCTCCAGGCCTTTGAAAATTTTATTGTACGTAACATTCTGATTTTTTTTAGGGATTTATGGCAGAGAGTGTGACTGGTGGTCTGTGGGCATTTTTGTTTATGAAATGTTGGTAGGAGAAACTCCTTTTTATGCCGACAGTTTATTAGGGACTTACAACAAAATAATGTACCATGAAAACAATCTGTCATTCCCTGAAGAAGTGGAAATATCCAATGAAGCAAAAACGCTCATACAGGGTCTATTATGTGATAGAAATAAGCGCTTAGGCAGAAATAGTGTAGATGAAATAAAGTCGCACCCTTTTTTTATAAACAATGAACAGTGGACGTTTGAAAATTTGCGTGACATGGCACCTCCTGTAGTGCCGGAACTTACGAGCGATGATGACACAAGCAACTTTGACGATTATGAAAAAGATGAAACTCCTGAGGAGACTTTTCCAGTGCCTAATACTTTTGTTGGTAACCATTTACCTTTTATAGGATTCACGTACAATTCCGACTACCAATTACTATCTTCGGATAGGGTGGATGGCAAGCAGAATATGCAGGCCGACAGCAAAAACTCTAATGCTCAAATTGTAAAATTAGAACTGCTATTAGAGCAGGAAAAACTTAATGTAGAAACACTAGAAGAAAAACAACGACAATTACTGGTTCAGCTAGAAGCCATTGCTCAACGAGAAAGTGATGTCAGGGAAGAAGTTACAAGGTATGAAAAGGATTTGACGATTCTCAGACACAATTACAAGGAAGTTCAGAGGAAGGCTGAATATGAAAGCGATTTGCGGAAAAATACGGAAAAGTATTTGGCTGAATTAAAAAAGAGATTTGAAGAGGAACAGACTAAAAGAACGAGGGAAATGAATAATAATCAACAGCACAATGATAAAATCCAATTACTAGAGAAGCAGGTATGTTATGTTTTGTAATTTGGAAGATCTGAATTTAGATAACCTCTGTTTCTTGAGAAATATAATTATTAATACAAGTGTCTGAAACTAATGTTAGATACTTTTTATGATTTTGGTTCATTATTGGAGTTATACTCAGTAGAAAACATTTCTTTTCAATTCTTCTTCATTCCCCAACTGTCATTTTTCAATTAACCTTCAACTCAAAAATGTATATGAATAAATATTTTTCGAGTAGGTTTATTTCTAATGTATTTTAAGTATTAGATAGATTTATTACTCACTTTACACATTAACATGTATTTGTAGCACTACAAGGTAGTGGCACTATTTTGTGGAGCATAAAGATTTTTTGTTTACTGAGAATGATTGCTGCCCTAGAAGAATTTTTCCATATTTCACTTCATAATTGAGAAGTTGCGATTGAAAAAGTGAATCTTTAGTGCGGACAAACTAGTTAGGTGCTTCAGCTGACGAATTACAAAGGTTATGCTGGATAGTCTTCTATTGAGTAGGTCAATGTGTTAGTGCCAGGTCAGTTTGTCGTCAATAATGATACTCGAAAGTTCAATAGTTTGTTCCTCTAGATAATTTGAGTTGGTACAAATTGTTATTCTTTGTGATCTAGTTTCAAACTCTGTTGTATTCCTTTCAATCATTTCGGTTAGTTTTAGTGACTCTAGTGCTGATTCTAGTAGTACTTGAAATCTTGAATTTTTTTCATAAGAGTGTTGTTGATCCTGACTTGAGAAGAACAATTCTTCAAAAATTCTCATTACTTGGGGTAGATGTAGTCAGATTCATTAGTTTGGTGAGGGATTTTCTCAAAGAATTTATCAAACTTGAGTTATATGCTTTTGGTTGGTTTTCTGTCATGACTTTATGTCCAGTTGTTTAAAAAATTGAAAATTCATTATTGTTGGCTTCAAAGAAGATAACCGTGCTGAATATTTGGAATGATCAAATCAAATCTAAGCATGCTTTATTATCTGAAGAATATAATTCTTATTGACAAAGCTCCTAAATGTAATAGTACATAAATCGTAACTGTTTAAAATGAACAGGAGGTCAGATAATTAAATAAAATTGAAATTAAAATTATGCAAACCAATATGGATTGTCGGATGTTGAAAGTGAATGAACTTATTAATGTATATATACAGTCATGCTACTATAAAATATTTTCACAACAATACAGTAAAATAGATAT